GAGAGAGAGAGAGAGAGAGAGAGAGAGAGAGAGAGATTGATTTTGTACATGAGAGACCTAACAATACATCTTGACACACTCCTATTGCTCCAAGTACTTACGTGTGGAAGACAGTTCTCTCCTTTAACCTGTGGGTTCTGAGATTAAGTGCAGACACTAGACTTGGTGGTAAGCATCTTTCCCCACTGAGCCATAGCACCAGCCCTCAGCTTGTTCTTTGAGACAGAGGTTTACTAGACTAGCTACTCAGAGGGCTGTGGGATCCTCTTCCACACACTGGGATTAAAAGCACACAGCACAGCACCTGGCTTTTTCTGTGGGTGCTGGAATGAACTCAGGGTCTCATATTTAAGAGCAGGTACTTCACCTTCTGAGCATGCCTCCCCAGCCCAAATATCAAAGATTTTAAAAACACAACCATTTAGGGGCTGGTGAGATGGTGGCTCAGCTGATAAAGGTGCCAAGCCTAATGCCTTAATGCAATCTCTGGTATGCAGAGAACAGCTCCCACAAATTGTCCTCTGACCTCCACAAATGTATTGTAGCATGTGCTTATCCATCCATCCATCCATCCATCCATCCATCCATCCATCCATCCAGATAGATAAGATAGATAGATAGATAGATAGATAGATAGATAGATAGATAAGAGATAGATAAATGTGATTTTAAAGCATATGTAAAGCATTTTAAAACATTCCATCTGAGTCCTCTCTGTTGGAAGAATCTATCTTTTGAAGTCTTCATGCAAAAGACCTAGGAAACTATAAAGGTTGGAGTCCCATTCTCTTTCAAATGTTTAAAGCATCCTGTTGGTCACTTTTGAAAATACTACAATAAAATATATATATTCATAGTGATGTGCTTGAGTCCTGCTAAGAGGTATAGAAAGATTGTATAGAAAATTGTACATATACTACACTGTCACTTGTATCTAATGATAACATGAGAACATGGGTTGGCACTATTTTCAGTAATATTTACAAAATCTGACTGACTGTGGTAACACTCTGCACCAAAAGTAAGAAAGAATTCACCAATGTATTCAACAGGGGTGTGTTGTCTGCGTGTGTGTCTGTGTGTGTGTATGCTGTGAAGTGTGTGTGTATATATGTATATAGGGGTGGTATAAGTGAATGTGTGTATGAGTATGTATGTATGTATATTGTGTGGTGTATGAATGTATTTATGTATATATGTGTGTATGTGTGAGTGTGGTGTGGGTGAAGGTGTGTGGTGAGTGTATGTGGTGAGTGTAGTGTGTCTGAGTGTGTGGTGTGTAAGAGTGTGTGTGCATATGTGTGTGGTGTATATGTATGTATATGTGAGTATGTGTGTGAATGTGTGTATGTGTGCGAGTGTGTAAGTTAGAAGTTCAGGTCAAGTGTCTTCTTCAAGCCCTTGTTTGTTTCCCTCACTGAGCCTGGAGCTGATAAGAGCTAGACTGGCTGGCTCAGCAGGCTTTGTTCCTGTGTCTGCACCCGGAGCACTGGGGTTTATATGAGTTCTATGAGTCCTTCATCAGGGTCAGACAAGTGCAGCAAACACCTTTATTCAGTAAGCTGACTCTCCAGCCCATGCCTACATTTTAAATGAGCTTAAATCATGTAGTTAAATAACTAAGCCATCTGTGCTTATGGACAGGATGCTTCTTAGATTTCTCTCCTGATGCTTATGATTGTTTTCTTAGGCAGGGCCTTACTATGTGGCCCTGGAGGGCCTATAACTCACTATGTAGACTGGCTGGCCTTGAACTCATGGAGATCCACCTATCTCTGTCTTCCAAGTGCTCAGAATAGAGGTATGTGCCATTTCTGGCACTTAATATTTTTATTAAGGATAAAATATAACAATTAACATTATTAATATTAGATGTGTACTGTGGAGACATCTATGAAGAACTTGACTGATTTAATCCTGAATCTTGTCCTTGGAATCTCCATGCTAACGCTTAAGAAGAGTATTCCCTCTGCAATCTCTTTAAACAAGAGAGTCCTGTGGGATTTGTGATGAGGCCTTGGACATATGGATGCTGTTCACAGCTCGCTCGCTGAGGAAGATGAATTTGTAGGAGGCATGATAGAGTCTAAGCACAGCCGAAGTCATGGCTCTTGTGGACATGAGACTCTGAACTATTATGGGAAACAGAATGGAAGGCCGAATTTAAATGGTGACCACCAGAAAAACCAGTTTGTTTGGATTGAGGTTAGGAAGTAGACAGGATTTTATAAGTATCCAGATGGAAGATGGTACTAGGTGAGAACACTTGTGAGAAAGGAACCGCTTTCAGGAGATGGACACGCTGTTTGGGACCATACTGAAGGTTTGGGTTCTGTAAAGATAAAGACATCTTACCTAAGAAGCATCACGGGCTAGCAAGATGGCTCAGCTGTGAAGATGCTTGCCACATGAGCCTAGCTGGCAACCTGAGTTCAATCCCTGGAGCCCAGGTAGAAATTACCCACACAGTTGTCCTGCAACCTCCACATGCACGTCATGGATATCACACACACACACACACACACACATTAATAATAATAACTAGTTTTAAAATAGCCTGGTGGGCAGCACAACAGAGTGCACTCAGGAGGAAAGAGCTGGCAGAGAAAGGAGGGCTTGGCATCATTTAGGTGACTGTTAATGAGATAAATCTCCCAGGAAAGGACAGACTGTAGATATTCAGAGGAGGGGATGGAGAGTGGAGCATTCTAAAATGGAGGGTGTGTAGGGGCATGGGTGAAAACTCCTGAGGATTTTTCCTCAGAAAAAATTGATTTCCTGAGACCAAGAAAACGGCAGAGTAGACTTGAGCAGGAGGGTGGGGTCTTTGGGTCATGCCTGACGCGCTCTGGGAAGAGAGCACATTGCAGAGGGATGGAGGGGAGTGAGAGGCCAGTGTAGAGTGTGAGTTTGCATGGCTGTCTAGACTCTCCAGGACATCAGAAGGAGTTCAGCTGGGGGACATGGAGTCAGAAGAGAATGGCAAAGACATGTGCCTGGATTTACAGGCTAAGGGAAGATGCCAGGAAACCTGGGAGATCCAGATGTGAGTGGGTGGGAATCAGGGAAGGGCACGGTGGAAGGGCGTGAGGAGGGCTGTAGGTGGACGTCTGCGCTGGAGGGACGTGGAATGCCGTCACTTCTAATGCCTTTGGTTTTCTTGGTCTCCCTAAGACAGATATTTACTAAAAGTGGGAAAAGGATTGACTCTGATCCCTGGGAATGTGGTGTAGCCTGAGACACTTGGGACTTACATGCGTTACCGAGGGCTCACTGAACCGGTCTTCAGTCACTTGTTTGTCTCTGGTGTCTCCAACAGTGTACATGTTAGAAGCAGAGGCGTTGTAGTGTAGAGTCAGGAGCATCTTCTTATTTTTACTATGCAATAAATTTGGAAGAATTTCTACAGCAAATACCTGTATTTCCCTCACCTGAATTCCACAATTCACTTTTTACTTACTTTACTGTCTGCCTGTTGAGGTGGTTGTTTGAAGAGTGCATTTTTATTATAAAATTTCAAGTATACAAAAGTAAAGGATGTAAAGTCCCCTCACAGACTCAACATTAGTTTCAACAGTCACTAACCATGGCTAGTACTAATTCCGGGTACCCACCTCCTACAATTTTCTCTTCTCATACCCTCCCTCCCCTGGGCTATGTACAGGCGTGCGGAGGTGCAGTATTGTTGGATGGATTTGTTAGGAACATAGGAATGCAATTCCATCATGGGCCCTGGAGCAAGGATTGTTTTGTGATCAAATCCCAGGTTGGCAGAGAGGGAGGCAGGAATGGAGACACTAGAGACAGTCGGATCAGGGAACCTGAGACAGGAAGGTCAAAGAATACTGGTGTGAGGAAGAGGGCCACAGGGTGGGAGGCTGTGGAGGTCGACAACTAAGGATATTAGTTATAGAAGAGAACCCCATGGAGAAGAAAGACATCGGGTGTAAAGACAAGGGCTGGGTGGAAATGTGGGAAATGGCAAAGTTTACAGGAAATGGAAAGAGCGCAGCTGAAGAGACATTGGCTGAGACAGCGGGAGGAAGAGCTGGTGAGCCACACTGCTCAGGTACTACCTGTGTGACCCGGATTAAGTTACTTACAGGTCCTATGCCTCAGTGTCCTCAACTGTGAAATGGAAGATAGTTATAGTGACAGCCCCTAGGGGTTAAAAACATGAAAGATATTTTGTTTAAACATGTAAAGCGTGTTCAGACAGTGCCTGGCCCATGAGAAGCCCTCAGACAGTCCCTGGCCCATGAGAAGCCCTCAGAAGTGTGAGGTTTTGTCATAGTTGTTTCTTGTAGATGCTAAAGTCAGCCAGGCTGATGACAGGATAGGGATAAGGTGACAGGAAGGGAAGGGACCAGGGAAGCTTGTGTTTCGGGTGTTGACAGAGGCGTAGGGTAAAATCTGTTTTAACACTACTTATATGGAAAGCCTTTATTATCAAAGGTCAAAATTCAGTTTTTTAAATAGTTTGATTTGCCAAGCCTTTGAGGTCACCTTTACATCTCCATAAGGATTTGTCTGGTATGCTGATTTATTAAAATACTTTCGAATCCAGAGTTTGAAGAAGTCTTTACGTAAGATGTGTGCATAAAGATGGTGTGTGCTTGCGTTTGGAAAGGCCAGCTTTATCACAGTATCAGAGCCCACGTTTGGTATAGGTGTAGTCATTGTTCTGGTTTAACATTAAATCATTTCCAAAGTACACGAATTATACTCCAGGTTTGAGGAACCTTCTTTGAGAGCTGTTTAAAGAAAGAGGAAACAGCCCTGCAGTGCACTGTTTAAAAGCCCAGGATATTCCTCTGTAAATACATGTTTCAAAATTTAATTAAACTGAGGGGTGTCGTGCCAAATGCAGCATTTTGTTGTTGCTATTTCTCAAGGAGCATTCTAAATCCATCAAAACATTAGGCAGAGTTATTTGTTGAAACCATAGCTTCAAATGCCGCAAGGCTAGCTGGTTTATGGTTGTAAGAGAGGCCATTAGACTATTTAGTGAGGAGGGAAGCATTTAGTACAGTTACTATTATATTTTGATTTTAAATGTTGTCTCTCATTTGGTCAAACAATAGCCCAGGAAGGTGTACAGTAATCCTACATTGGGACAGGGTCACTGGATAAGTCACTTGTCCGAGGACACCAGAGCATGAATATGAATGTTTGTGTGTGTGTGTGTCTGTGTCTCTGTGTATGTCTCTGTCTCTCTGTGTGTCCCTGTATCTCTATGTATGTGTGTGTGTCTGTGTGTGTGTGTGTGTGTCTGTGTCTCTGTCTCTCTGTGTGTGTCTTTCTGTGTGTCTGTGTCTCTGTATAGATCTGTGCTCTCTGTGTGTTCCTGTGTCTCTATGTATGTGTGTGTGTCTCTGTGTGTGTGTCTCTGTCTCTGTCTCTGTGTATGTCTGTGACTGTCTGTCTCTGTGTGTCTCTGTGTGTGTCTGTGTATATGTCTTTGTGTTTCTGTCTCTCTGTAAGTGTTTGTCTGTTTATGTCTGTGTCTGTTTCTGTGTATGTGTCTCTGTGTGTGTGTGTGTGTTTCTGTGTCTCTGTGTGTCTGTGTGTGTGTTTTTGTATGTGTGTATCTGTGTATCTGTGCGTGTCTGTATCTGTACACAAAATACTCTGGAATAGGAATAACGGGGCTTTATCTTAGGCTTGCCCACTGGTGGGACTGTGTCTCTTTGTGTCCTTGTAGAGTGGAGGTTGTGGTGGGTGTAGACCTTGAATGCCTGTGCCAAGCAGGACTAGTGCAGATGGGAACTCGCAGTCCGGAGCTACCAAGGCCACCAGGTTCTGACCCTCACGGTGCTCATCTGATCTGCCGCTTACCGTAGGCCAGCAGTTCTCAACTTCCCTAACACCGTGAGCCTTTAGAACAATTCCTCATGGTGGGGTGACCCCCAACCATAATGTTATTTTCATTCTTACTGCATAACTGTAACTGTTGCTACTGTTATGAATCATAATATAAATATCTGATATGCGAACCCTGTGAAAGGGTCTTTTGACACCCCACCCCCCAAAAGGAGTCCTAACCCACAGGTTGAGAACCTCTGTTCTGGCCTGAAGTTTCACATGTGGTGACACACAGCAGACTCTCTGGAAGCGTTGCCCAGTGTGTCGTAAAGCTTGCAGTCTGCAGTGCTATCAGCCACTGTCACAGACAAATCTTGGGCAGCGTTTGAGCAGTCTGCCAGATTGTCACTTCAGTCTTGAGCCAGCACCTGTAGAGCCTCAAAGAGAATGTATAAAATACTGCAATTTTCCAGACTTCTGAACTGCATTAATCCATTGAAGTATAATTTCAGGTAAAACATGGCTACTCTAAGAGAGTCTGGTGCGTGCTTGTTGGGAAGACCTTGTATTATTTTCGTAATCAAGAGGATAAGGTATGTACCCATCTTAATATCCCAGCGAGACAAAGAACTTTGCTTGTGCTAGCTTAAAAAGCTTTTCTCGTTGCCTTTTCTGTTGCTAGGTGAGACTTTAGAATTCTTGGTAACTTGGTGTCATTCATATTTATTACTGAGGCAATAGCCTGCTTGGCCTTTATTTTAAATTTTAGCTTAGTACCTTGTACCTGATGTACTTTCTAAGGACTGAAAGAGCAAAGCCTTGATTTACTGTGAATGCTCACTTAGCCACTCTTCCCAGTGTTCTGACCAATTAGGAAAACAACAGGATGTGAGCAGCTTGGAGAGGAGGAGGAGGAATCAGCGCTGTTGGGCCTTGGATGCCTGGATACCTCTTACCGGTTCATCCACTTGCACCTTACATCTTGTCTACTTGTTTTTAAACTAATATCTGCCTCACTCCCAGGAAAGGAGTAATCTTCACTTTGAAAGTAGAAAGATAGGCCATCTACCGATGGCCCCAGGTCGTTGTGGACACTCGATGTCACTGCAACTACATGAATTTAGTCAATATCAATGAGCCTCAAGCTTGGATAAAAGGACGGTGTTGGCAGCCTGAGGCTGGTCAGTTAATGACCCAAGGGTCGTCCAGTGACCATGTGGGTCAGTTATTACCCTGGTCTCTTTTCTCGGGCTGTACTCTCAGATCTACCAGCTGGCTTTAACACTCAGGCTGTTGTTCTCATGTTGCCGGTAACATGAGAGTTGACAGTCATAGCCGTTAGAAAGGATGTGTCCAGAGGAGCGAGGAAAGAGCTTGTATCACAGAGCTGCCGGAAGCTTTAGGTCTAAGCCCAGTGCAGAGCAACACTCAGCATTCCCTGCTAAACTGATGCTCAGGAAGATGGCCATTAAAGTTCCGATGTGGAATTGGGGACACAGTTTTGAAAGGTTCAGTGAGTGAATTTATCTTTAAGATAAATTGAGGGGATAGTGGTAGGGACTGGACGATCTTCTAGAGGTCTGGGTTTAGTTCCCAACACTCACATTGAGACAGATGCTCGCAGTCACCTGTAACTCCAGTTCCAGGGAATCTGACAACCTCTCCTGGAACCACAGACATGTGACATACACAAAGAGAGACAAGCACATACATATAAAATAAAAATAATATGTTTAATTAAGTAATCCTTATTATTAACCAGCCACTAGGGAGATAGAACACAAAATAATCTTTATTTATTAATGTGTCTCTGGCGTGCCATGTTCCACAGCCTCTAGCTTTTACTCTGAGAGAGACGAGGCACACTGGAGGATTTTGAGCAGAACCACCACAGTCCTACCCTTGTTAACAGGAACAGGCTTCTATTTAGGAGCAGACTGAAGGGAACAGGGAAGATTCTAACCAGAAGATTGTTAGACTAATCCAGTCCTGAGACAGCTGTGGTTGGTGGAGACCATGGCACTAATCAGAAGCGACCATATATTCTGGAGGTCTTGTTGATGGAATTTATGTCAGTGAAGGAAGAGGGTCAGCGATGCTGTCAACGTTTTTGGCCCAAACTTTTGGAAAGATGAAGTCACTGAGGGAGGTGGGAACAGCTGGAGGGAGCGGGTGGCTGAGGTAGCCGTGCTGAAGATGAGCCTGAGATGTTCGACATCTGAGTCCAGATCATGGGTCTGGAGTTAGGCATCTGGGAGCAGCTAGCATAGGCTGGGACTGAAGCCATGATCTTGGATGAGATCACCCACTGTGTGTAGGTGGTCAGGACAGGGAGTCCAAGCACAGAGCCTTGGAATGCACCAGGAAAATGAATGCGAGTGCATGCCTTAGGGGTTAGAATGGGCTTTTTCAAAGAATTGCAGCCAGCACTCAGGAAGCTGATGCAGGGGGATGACTGCAGTACCTATGTATATAATGAAACATTGTTTCAATCCCTTCCCCATCAAAAGGGGAAAAAAGTAATCACTGCAAACATTTGCAAACCTGACCAAATATTTTAGAAGCTATAAATCTGAAGAATGTTCTTAACTAGCATAAAAGTTCCAATTCAGATCTACTAAATCACTAACAGGGAAGACATGTTTATGTTAAAGAATAAACTTTAACAAAACGAGCTGTAGGAAGGTTTGCTTACCCTTAAGTTGCCATGGAATGGGTCACCGCCTTTCCGGGGGATGGGTGACACACTTTGACAAATGGTCTGAGAACACAGGGTGTTAATGGGGATCGGAGCTAACCTTTGTACCAGCTGCCTAGTTATTTTCCCAGGGGACAATATGGAGCCTATGTCTACATTGTACCCTTTGATTGACTAAAATCAAACCACTCACCAATCTGAGAGGAAAACAGTCCACTGAGTGTTTTCGCTGAAATAACTATATCCTGAGCGAGGTCACTTGATTTTGCCTCTAATGTTAAATGCCCAGTATTCACTTGGTGTTTCTATGCCACTGTTAGGGTTTCTGCTTGTTGCTGTTATGTTGTAATAACACGAGCACTTAGACTTCAGTGAGGTAGTCCTTTCTCAAAGCATGCCTTTTAAAGAGAAAGATGCAAGGGGCCACCGTGACTTCTAGTAGTAAGAGATGGACAACGCCTTCGCTAGCAACACTGGCCTTTGCTTCAGTTCCCTCTAGGTCAGATCAAACTCTGGGAGGCTAAGGTGGAGGAGGTGGACAGGTCCTGTGACTCGGATGAGGATTACGAGACCAGTGGGCGCTTTCTGCTGTCTACTCACTACACCATCATTGTACACCCCAAGGACCAAGGCCCTACTTACCTGCTCATCGGCTCTAAGTATGAAAAGGTACTTAACGTCTTTGCGGTTCGTCTAAAGTGAGCCAGACGTTATACTTCAGGTACTGAGGGTTTCAGGCCAACTTTATGGAAATAGGAACAGATTTTTGGGAGGAAAAAAAAGCCTTTTCATTTCTGTCTTCTGGGTTTTTTACTTCTCTGGAAATAAACATGCTAAACATGCTAGTCTTCAGTCTGTTGACAAGAGTTCTGTCAAGATCAAAACTAATGGTGACCATGGAGGACAGAAGCGCCTCCCGTGTGGAAGTGTGAGCCTCCCTGGCTGGGCATGTCTGGTGAGCCTAAGCCTTTTAACAGTTTTCATTCTTTGTTGGTTTTGTTTTTTCCAGTAAAAACTTTGGTTTAGAGACAACAAAAAGTGAATAATTATATTTGCTATATGTCTATAACTGTGAATGATAAAGGAAGAATCACAAATTGATGGAAATGAAGTGTGTATTTATTATATGTACTATTATATTTTCTTGTATTTTGATGAAATTAACTACTAAGGAAAACATAATTTTTCATTTTACACAATTGTCAAAAATTAATTTCCGGATGAATTTAAAGCGCTAAAAGAATTTAATGATTTTTTTTTTAAAAAAAGTTTTTATATTTGAATTGAAAGTGTTTTCTAAGAAAAAGACACAATTTAAGAGAACAGTGGCAGTGGTGGGGAAACTAAAAATCTAAAACCCAGGGCTCAGCAGCAAGAGTGTGCTGCTCTTGCACAGGACCCAGTTCGGGTTCTCATATCATATCAGAGGCTCACAACCCCTACAACTGTAGCGGGAGGTATTCGAAAGGACACCTCTGGCTGGCTCCCAGCTTAGCAGCCATGTTCCCACACTAGTGGTGGCAGGGTGTCCTCATCTGGCGGGCTCTCCAGCTGGGAGCTCCAGGACTCCCCTCACAGCCATGCCAGCCCACACCACGATTGTCCACCCTGCGATCATCCATCACACCCATCACCCGGTTAATTAAAACTCTAAGGCATAAGCTATAAAGGCATAACTTTAAAGTTAACCAAACAGATTTATATATCAGCAAATACTCAAATCCCAAGATGTCCACACAATTTTGACAAGTTATCCCAATTATTCTACTCTTTAGATTTCATATCTACCTATTTTACTTGAAGCCACGCAGGTCCATGTCTGCTTCCATTTCACCTTCCTCACTCTCGGCGGTCTCTGCCACCGTGAGCTCCGCCTCCCTTTTTCCTATCCAATCACAGGTCTCCCGCTGCAAATAGATTGGACAGGGAAATTTCTGCTACACAGTCTGTAATTCTGGTTTCAGGGGCTCCAGTGCTCACTTCTGGGCTCCAAGGATATGAGGCAACCAAGGATGTACTTACACACATGCAAGCAAAATTCTCATGCACATAGAATAAACATAAGTATTTATTAAAATCCTTTATATTGAATAAGATTGCAAGTGGAATTAGGATATATAATAAAAACTCAGTATTCCATGTGTGTCTTGAACATAGAAACAATAATGTCTTAGTGTTGGTGATTGTGTTTAAACACATGTATCATGCAAAGTCCTCTGTAGATGTCTTTATCTTTACAGTGACTCTTGCAGGAGATGGTTGTATTTCCACTTACAGAGAGAAAAACAGGAACACTTGCCTGTTGAGATTTACACCCGTTTCTCTGACTCCAGAACCCAGGCTCCCAAACATTTGTGTTTACTGTTTCCTGTATGATTAAAAAAATTACATTTCCAGAGGTAGGCGGATTTCTGAGTTCGAGGCCAGCCTGGTCTACAGAATGAGTTCCAGGACAGCCACGGCTACACAGAGAAACCCTGTCTCGAAAAACAAAAACAAAAAACAACAAAAAAAATAATAATAATAAAATAAAAAAATTACATTTCCAACAAAAATGATAAGGCTCACTTAAAAACTTACTAAGGCAGCTAATCATAAATCAATAGAATATTGACTTCTATAATCAAAGAGATGGAAAGTGTGAAAAATGACAAATTTAAAAGCTTTTGTGAGACCTCCCTGGAGTAGGGAAAGCACTCACTTGGCATTGGAGGGGGAGCATGAGGGCCGAGAGCACACGGGGAAGCTCCGGCAGTGTCCACTGGATGGGTTTCTGCCAGTCCCTAGAGTCTAGTTCCTCACCATAACTCCTATTTCTTTTCCAAGATCATACACTAGGGAGGACACAGATATAGCCTGGGAGTAGACTGCTTGTCACACATATGCAAGGTCTTGTATTTGACCCCAGAAGTTTCTTTAAAAGGAATATTATACAAATAAAATTATCATAAATTAATTGTATTATTTAAAATTTTTTATTTCAGAAATATTTTAAATATAGAAAAATATAACAAATGCCTATCTTAACTAACAGGTGTTAGATGGGACACTATCTTTTATCTGAAAAATTAATGATAAGTATTACTAAAATGCAGAAATTATAACAGTCTGTTTCAGTATCGTATCAACTATTATAAAAATTTAGTCTACATGCCAGGCGGTGGTGGCACATGCCTTTAATACCAGCACTTGGTAGGTAGAGGCAGGTAGATCTCTGAGTTTGAGGTCAGCCAGGCCTACAGAGTGAATTCCAGAACAGCCAGGACCATACAGAGAAACCCTGTCTCAAGAAACCAAAAAATAAACAAATAAAAAATAAAAAATTAGTCTATACATTTATTCCGACAGAGGAAAACAGAAGTTGAAAATTTGACTTTTTTCGTTAAATTTTTTCATTTCTCCAGTATTTTGTATATACTACCTTGGTAATAAGATTTTAAACTGGATAGATTTTGTTGTATTTCTTAGACTATAAGAATTGTACATTCTAAAATAACTTCAGCTAGCTCTATGTAGTACATGTATTTACACTCTTTAACTTTATCATGCTTTTCTAAGAAGTGTGTGTATTATAGTGAAAGCTGAGCGTGGCTCGAGAGTGAGCCCTCCTCAGAAACTTATCAAAAAGCTCCAGGTTCAATACCTGGAACCCACAGGGTAGAAAGAAAAAGCCAGCTCCCTCAAGTTGTGTGTGACCGCCACATGCATTCATGCCGCTCATGTGCACATGTATACACACACACACACACACACGTACAAATAACAAATCTAAGGAAGTGGTTTCTTTTCTGCCTCGAGGTTTTTGTCTGTTGTTGGTTGGTTGGTTTTTGTTTGTTTTGTTCCGTTTACTGTGTTTGCAGGCTGTTCCTTCTGGTGAAATGAACCGGATAGCTTGGCTAATGTTTCTGTTAACATGTTCTCTCTTGAAGGAAACCTGGCTTTATCACCTCACTGTTGCAGCTGGAAGCAACAACGTAACTGTTGGATCGGAATTTGAACAACTGGTTTGCAAGCTGCTCACTATAGAAGGGGAACCCTGTAAGTTCCTGAGCACACAGGCTCTGGAGTTGATGACGCTGATCCCAACCCCTTAGCCTGATGGGGTTTCACGTTGTGGGTTTCTCTTTCCCTGTGCCTGGCCACCTCCTCCCTGACTTTGTTTGTAGTGGGCCAGAGTTCTCAGGCTCCAGGAACACTGGCAGCCCTCATGCTCTGTCCTGTCATGCTCACTGCCTCTGCCTGCATTGCTCCCCTTGCCTGCCGTGCCCCACCTTGGCACCTCTCCCTAACATGATGAAACGCTTGTTAGCCTCAGAAGATCCCTCAGCCAGCCCTCTCAGTGCAGTCGACTCTCACAAGGTGCTTCACCCGTGTTGAAGTTAAGCCCCAGTTCGCCTCTCCATTTAACCCATTTGTAGCATGTGTAGCTTTGCGTTGGCATTACTTTTACAGCTATAGTGTGTTATTACATTTGTTACTGCTGTGAGGGACGGCTTGATAAGCAGCTAAGTGTTTCATTAAGTGGGAAGGTAAGGGAGGAAGAGTTACTTTGTGTCTGCACCTTGAGGGGACACAACCTTGGGGTGCAGAAGGCACTCTGGCAGGACAATGAGGTGGCTACTGATCATATGGATTGCTCCTTTTTATTCAGTCCAGAACCCCAGCCTGTGGAGTAGTGAGACCCAGTGTTCAGGGTGGCCCCCCCTTCTCTGTTAAGCCATCTGGACACGCCTCACAGACAAGCCTAGAGGCAGATTTCTGAATCTTGTCCCATTGAGGTTTAAGATTAGCTGTCCTATACGATTTCTAAACATTGAGGTTCAAGATTAGCTGTCGTATAAGGTTTTCCACTGCGTCTCTAGACTATGTCCCGTGATTTCCGCACAGAGACCACATTGCATTCAAACTGACCAGTATTTAGGCCGTGATAGGGTGAAGTCTGGGGGCTGCTGCACGCCCAGCTCGTACTCTACCACCAAGCTGCACACCCAGCCGCAGTGTAGGGATTTCAGAAGCATTGATTTCAGGAGTGACTTCATGTTCCTCTCTGTCTTTATATCTCCTCCTGGTTGGCTTCTCTCTAGATCTTGTCGGAGATCCTTGTTGTTAAAGTTACTTTCCTAACCGGCTCATCACCTATTGGCATGTGTAAGCAACACGATGCCAAGTAGAATTATGACAGCTGAGTCAGTCAGGGCGTGGCTCTTCTGCAATCACTCTGCTAGAAGAGAAACATGGGGACCGCAGGGGCCTGAGGATGACAGAAAACAGCATTGCTGGGAGGGTGGTTGTTGTTGTTGTTGTTGTTGCATCTGACCCTTGGGAGGAAGTGAGCCAGGCCGGAAGGAGCTAATGATCAAGCCAATGGAACCAAACGACTGAATCCTCTCATTCTGCTCATGTGTTCTTCTGTGTTCAGCCTCCCAGATATGGAGACACCCCATGCTCTGTCACAGCAAAGAAGGAATTCTGTCCCCTCTGACCACACTGCCTTCGGAAGCTCTGCAGACAGAGGCCATTAAGTTATTTAAGGTAAAATTGTTGCTTGTTGGCAAATCATGTAATTAATTGAATGTGATCATTTGTTACACTGATGATAAGAAGATACAAGATGGTGATGATGATATGATGATGGTGGTGATGATGATGGTGATGATGGTGGTGATGATGATGATTATGTTGGTGATGGTAAGATGATGATGGTGATGATGGTGATGATGATGATGACGGTGAGAGAAATGAGCACTCTTTACCCTGAGCTATACGCCCCAGCCTCGCTGTCTTCTGGAGAACATGTAGGATGATGCTTCATCAGGAGGCTATTATGCATTGTGTGATAAAGGAAAACATTTTAAGGAGGGCAATGGAAAGTATTTAACAGGCCCAACTTGAACTTTAACGTGAGAATGTGAATATTAAAATGGATGGCTGACCGCTGAGGTGGACATGTTTCAAAGCTGTTGTTAGAGAACACAGTGTGATCATTGTGTCTTCCAAAGTGACGCCTCTTTGTCTTTGGCAAAATCCTTTTGCTCTGAGGTGTGCTTGGTCAGTAGCCACTCCAGATTTCTTCTGATTGGAGTTATCATAACATATCTTTTTTCATTGTTTTAGACAAAGAACTATTGGTAAAAGATAGAATGGCTATGGTTTGTGCAAAGTCAACAGGGTTGTTTCTCACGGCATGTCGTCTTTCCCATGCAGACTTGCCAGCTCTTTATAAACGCTGCGGTCGACTCCCCTGCCATTGACTACCATATCTCTCTAGCTCAGAGCGCCTTGCAGGTCTGCCTGACACATCCCGAGCTACAGAATGAAATTTGCTGCCAGCTAATTAAGCAGACAAGACGGAGACAGCCGCAGAATCAGCCAGGACCATTGCAGGTGTGTATTGATGCATGTGCATGCAATTTGAAAGGATTTCTTCTGACCACAAGAATGGTGTGCATTGAGTACAGACACCCGAGAATACAAACAGTATGAATGGAAGATGGCTATTGATATTTTGATGTGTATCCTTTAGGTTCACTTGTCTATAGTATCTTCTATAGAAGTGTGTGTACATTATCAACTCCCTCGGTATTTACAGCGGAGCGTATTGTGCATATTGCCCTTCTAAAACCACAGAATGTAATCACTTCTCCCGTGTCATTAAACATGCTTCAGAAACTAAAGGTTAAGCTCTTAGTGATCACGTTAGGGGTTGGAGAGATGGTTCAGCGTGTATTCTGCTCTTCCAGAGGACCAGAGTTCAGTTCCCAGCACCCACCACAGGCAGCTCACAACCGCCTGCAGTGGCTTTGGAAGCTGAAGGACAGAATCTGATGCCAGGAGCTTTCCTCTCCCTGCTCCCTGAGCAGTGAACAAATGACCTGTCCTTGTTCACCAGTGGGTGAGCCCCAGCCCACCCTGCCTTCCAGTGCTCTCTGTCGTCCCTGGCACGTCTCAGTCCCTCTTGAATCCCTCTCTTCCTTTCCCGTGTTCTACCTTACAGTCCATCCCAAACTCTATCCTCCCAGGAAATCTCTCCTGGCACCCCAGCCATTGCCTTGGAGTTATAAAAAATTAATTCATGATATTATCTTTTATTATATTTTTCTGTGTGTTTATATAAGCTCTTCCTACTGGATTAGACTTCTCAAGGACAAGATCCATCTTTCTCACCTTCTTATTGTAAGATTCCTAAAAACACTGGCATTATACTTGTTTAATGAGGAAAATCACACAGAGAAGAGAGCAAAGGGAGAAAACATAACGTGACCTTGTTACCCTCAAGTCAGTCTGTCAGGATTTTATACTTCGCCCTTATCTGTGTATGTGTAGCGAATAGAGGGGTTGGAGTGTACAGTTTTTAGTTTTAGTTTTTGACCATTTTGTAATGCACTTTTCTCAAAGTTGTGTTTAAATAGATAAGTAAAAGCATGAAGGAGTAACAGAGAGTGAGGGCCCCATTCATTGTGTGTGACGTTAAAGAGAAATGTTCAGCCTATTGGTAAGCTTTGGTGCTGCCATTGGAGACCGTAGGTAGGATTACGTGCATCCTGGATCTGACACACTGTTGAATTGTACACTTTTAATGTAATGTAAATGCTCTGAAGAGATCATGTGTGGGTAGACAAGGCAAGCTGTGAGGGTTAAGAGACCCGTTCATCAGTCCCTCCCCTCCCACCCTCTGCCAGGCACATGGCTCTGATGTGTCTGTGTAGCTGGCATGGTCTCTAACGAATGATGCTTCTCCTTACCCAGGGCTGGCAGCTCCTGGCACTCTGCGTTGGACTCTTCCTTCCCCACCACCCTTTCCTGTGGCTCCTCCAGCTGCATCTACAAAGGAATGCAGATTGCAGGTGTGCAGAGCACTAGGCAGCTGAACTATTCATGTGGCCTCGAAAGTCTACGATAAATCATAAGTATTTAATAACCTTCCAGGTATATTCTCAAAAGAATTCGTGAAGCAAATATTGGGACAGGAAGCCTTTTGCTATCATTTTTTTGTAGAGCCTGGGAAACATTCCCTTTGTTATGTTAAGTATCTTATACAAGATTGCTAGGAAAGCATGAAGATCTGACAGAACATTCTTAAATGAAAAGATGGTGTCCATTGCAGGTGTGAATGTCTCACATTCCTGGGTAAAAGCAACTGTTGGCTTTCTGAGTTTCCCCTTCCACCGATTTATCCAAATTGGACTCTTTTTGTGGACGTCTTCCCTCATGGTCTTCTTTTGTTGTGAAATTGTATTCCGATTGCTTCTGTTTTTGTTTTGTTGTTGTTGTTGTTTTATTCTCTTGAAAAAGATATTCAAAATCCGTTATTAGAATGACCTCTTTAGTCTAGGGGCTAAAGCAGTTGGCCAGGGCTTTTCCAGGTTCATCTTGTGATCTGAGAGAGGTTGATGGGAGGTGGTTTTGTTTGTCCGATTGGTGGTTCTGGGGATCTAACCTAGGGCCTTGTCAAATGACAAGTGAGCGCTCTACCAACTGAAGCATACCCTAGCCCAAGAGGTTCATGTTAGCGTGACACACACACACACACACACACACACACGAACAAAAAGCAGCTTGGAACAAAAGAAAAATACCCCTTAGTCCACAATATATTCTAGAGATGCTGTGACGTCTCTAGAGAGAAAAGCTGTGACCAAGATCATGTGACTATTGTAACTGCCCAGCCGCTGACAAATAGTGGCACCATTGAGTCTGTCTCTCAAAAGCACTTGAGTATAAGAGTATTTAGAAATGCCATTTTTTTAGAAACAAGATAAAATTTGTGTTTAATTTTATGCTGTATATAAATAAATAAGGGCAGATAAAATCTTGATCCCACTTACCCATTTATATCCTTGAAGGGTTTCTCTGCGTGCTGTTTATAGGATATGAGTTTTTGCCTGAAGGCATTTCTTACCTTGTTTAGTAGTAAAACAATCTGTACGTTCTTCAAGAGATTGCTGGGATACCAGGGGGTGGCACTTAAAAGCAGAGTCCCTGCCTACTGTGCCTGAGGCCTGGGCTCAGTGTGGAGAACTCTGCCCTGTAGTTTTATTATAATGTATTATTCTTTATGCATTATCTTCTTTCAATTTGTTAGCACCATGGTTATCTATATTGACTGTATAATTACTGGTGATTTAAAATTCAGCTTTTGACTATAGCAATGCAGAAAGAGTGAGGAAAAAAACTTCATGGGAATGTCTGAGTCTGTTGCAAAATTAAAGAAACTGGAGTCCAGTAAGCATTAACACTATGAAAGCTGTATGCATTAGTGTCTTAATTAAATTCATTCTTAGATTTTTTTATTTTAAGTTTTGCATTACAGGACAGAGTTTGGGAAATATGCCATTTACTGCCAGCGATGTGTAGAAAGGACACAGCAAAACGGAGACCGAGAGGCCAGACCATCCAGGATGGAGATCCTCTCCACTCTTCTTCGAAACCCCTACCATCACTCTCGGCCCTTCAGCATACCCGTGCACTTCATGAATGGGATCTACCAGGTGAGCACTGCAAAAAGACTGAAAGAGAGACTGACTCGAGAAACAATGTTATTCACTGTTATACAAATCCGAGAATGCGTTGGTGAAGTTTTCCCAGTCTGTGGGCCTGCAGCATAGTGAACCCTTCAGTGACAAGGCACAGGCATGGTTCTCCTCTTAGAGTTTTCAAATCTCAGGAATCATCTGGTAATACATTCATTCTAAGGCTTTCCCAGTTCTCTAGTCCAGATGTTCATTTGTTACCGTACATGTTACAAAGTTAGCAATTACTCTTCCTACCACTAAGCCTTTCATCCCGAGTTCAATCCCTACACCACACAGTTATGCCACCTGCCAGATACACACACACACCAAGTAAAAATTTAAATATTTTTTTTAAGAATAAACATTAGATACACAAAGGTTCTCATTGATTTAAACATACTTATTGACTACACATTATACTGAATTTCTGAGCTTACTTCCAATGGGTATGCCTAATTAATGTCTCTACACCGTATTTGAAGCTGTCAAATTCAGCTTTGAATTTCTCTCTGTTGTCTGAAGCTGAAATTTCTGAACTCTTATAGCAAGCTGACTACCGAAGTCACCTTCTTTGTTTTTTCCATCAGAGCACTGGACAAAACGTTAAAGCGCCTACAGAACACAGTACCATTAGTCACGCATAGCTTGTGCCCTGCTTCCCCAAGGCCTACTCAGTGTGTATGGTTCTCATTAAGAGTCTTGCTCCCTTTGGCTAGGTAGTTGGGTTCGATGCGTCCACCACAGTAGAAGAATTTTTGAACACTTTGAACCAGGACACAGGAATGAGGAAGCCAGCGCAGTCTGGATTTGCACTGTTCACGGATGACCCTTCTGGCAGAGACCTGGAGCACTGTCTTCAGGGAAATATCAAGGTAAAACTTAGTTCTTCAAAGGAGTCTCAATTGAGCAAACAGCAAAAAGACTCATTAGTCTGTGCTAGTTTAGTGCAGGAATTTTCCAGAAATGTAAGAAGCTTGATCAGCACATTTTTAAAAAAAATGCCAAACTTTGGCAAAACTGAAGAATTCTTTTCTCTTTTTTCCTTTTTTGGGGGCTGGGGGGCATAGAATTCTTTTTTTTTTAATTTTTTTATTGGATGTTTTGTTTACATTTCATTTGTTGTCCCCTTACCCCATCCCCCACCCACCCAGGAACCCTCTATCCCCTCACCCCTCCTCCTTCTTCTCTGTGGATGTAACCCCTACCTACCCCCCCCACTCCCACCTCCCCACCCCCCAAAATCCCACCCCCCGGGGGGTCCAGCCCTCAAGAGGGCAAGGATCTCTTCTTCCACCTATGCCCAGCAGGGCCCTCCACTCTTACCTATTCAGCTGAAGCCCTGGATCCCTCCCTAAGTGCTCCCAGGCTGGTGGTTTAGACCCTGGGAGCTGTGGTTGGTTGGTATTGTTGCTCTCCTCATGGGGCCACAAACCCTTTCAGCTCCTTCAGTCTTCACTCTAACTCCTCCATTGAGAACGCCATTATCAGCTCAATGGCTAGTTGTGAGCATCTGCCTCTGTATATGTTAGACTCTTGAAGGCCTCTGAGGAGACATTCATATCAGGCTCTTATCAGCATGCACTTCGTGACTTCCACATCAGCGTCTACCTTTGGTGACTGCACATGGGATGGATACTCAGGTGGAATGGTCTTCAGACGGCCCCTCCTTCAGTTTCTGTCCCTCACTTTGTCTCCATATTTGCTCCCTTGAGTATTTTGTTGCTCCTTCTAAGAAGGACCGAATCACCCCCACTTGGTCTTCCTTCTTTATGAGCTTCATGTGGCCTGTGAGTTGCATCATGGGCATTTCAAGGTTCTGGGCTAATATCCAATAATCAGTGAGTGAATACCATGTGTGTTCTTTTGTGATTGGCTTACTTCACTCAGGATGATAATTTCTAGTTCCATCCATTTACCTAGGAAACTCTCGAATTCACTGTTTTTAATAGCTGAGTAATACTCCATTGTGTAAATATACCACATTTTTTGAATCCATTCCTCAGTTGAAGGACATCTGAGTTTTTTCCAGCTCCTGGCTGTTATAAATAAGGCTGCTATGAACATAGTTGAGCATATGTCCTTGTTATATGTTCGAGCATCTTCTGGGTATATGCCTAGGAGTGGTATAGCTGGATCCTCAGGTAATACTATGTCCAATTTTCTGAGGAACCGCCACACTGATTTCCAAAGTGGCTGCACCATCTTGCAGTCCCACCAACAATGGAGGAGTGTTCCTCTTTCTCCACACCCTGGACAGCATCTACTATCACCTGAGTTTTTAATCTTAGCCATTCTGACTGGTGTGAGATGGAATCTCAGGGTTGTTTTGATTTGCATTTCCCTGACGACTAAGGATACTGAACATTTCTTTAGGTGCTTCTCGGCCATTCGAGTTTCCTCCGTTGAAAATTCTTTGTTAAGCTCTATACCCCAATTTTTAATAGGGTTATTTGGTTGTCTGGAGTCTAATTTCTTGAGTTCTTTGTATATATTGGATATTAGCCCTCTATCAGATGAAGGATTGGTAAAGATGTTTTCCCAATTTGTTGGTTGTCGTTTTGTCCTATTGACAGTGTCCTTTGCCTTACAGAAACTTTGCAATTTTATGTAGTCCCATTTGTCAATTCTTGATCTTAGAGCATATGCCATTGGTGTTCTGTTTAGGAACTTTTCCTCTGTGCCCAAGTATTCGAGGCTCTTCCCCACCTTCTCTTCTATTAGTTTCAGTGTATCTGGTTTTATGTGAAGGTCCTTTATCCACTTAGACTTGAGCTTTGTACAAGGAGATAAGAATGGATCAATTTTCGTTCTTCTACATGTTGTCCTCCAGTTGAACCAGCACCATTTGTTGAAAATGCTGTCCTTTTTCCACTGGACAGTTTTAGCTCCTTTGTCAAAGATCAAGTGACCATAGGAGTGTGGGTTCATTTCTGGGTCTTCAATTCTATTCCATTGATCTTCCTGCCTGTCTCTGTACCAATACCAGGTAGTTTTTATCACTATTGCTCTGTAGTACAGCTTGAGGTCAGGGATGGTGATTCCTCCAGAAGTTCTTTTATTGTTGAGAATAGTTTTCGCTATCCTGGGTTTTTTTGTTATTCCATATGAATTTGAGAATTTCCTTTTCTAACTCTGTGAAGAATTGAGTTGGGATTTTAATGGGGATTGCATTGAATCTGTAGATTGCTTTTGGCAAGATGGCCATTTTTATTATATTAATCCTGCTAATCCATGAGCATGGGAGATCTTTCCATCTTCTGAGATCTTCTTCGATTTCTTTCTTCAGAGACTTGAAGTTCTTGTCATACAGGTCTTTCACTTGCTTGGTTAGATTCACACCAAGGTATTTTATATTATTTGCAACTATTGTGAAGGGTGTCATTTCCCTAATTTCTTTTTCAGTCTGTTTATCTTTCATGTAGAGGAAGGCTACTGATTCGTTTGAGTTAATTTTATATCCAGCCACTTTGCTGAAGTTGTTTATCAGGTTTAGGAGTTCTCTGGTGGAAGTTTGGGGGTCACTTAAGTATACTATCATATCATCTGCAAATAGTGATATTTTGACTTCTTCCTTTCCTATTTGTATCCCTTTGACTTCTTTTTGTTGTCTAATTGCTCTGGCTAGGACTTCCAGTACTATATTGAATAGGTAGGGGGAGAGTGGGCAGCCTTGTCTAGTCCCTGATCTTAGTGGGAATGCTTCAAGTTTCTCTCCATTTAGTTTGATGTTGGCTACTGGTTTGCTGTAAATTGCTTTTACTATGTTTAGGTAGGGGCCTTGAATTCCTGATCTTTCCAAGACTTTTATCATGAAGGGATGTTGAATTTTGTCAAATGCTTTCTCAGCATCTAGTGAGATGATCATGTGGTTTTTTTCTTTAAGTTTGTTTATATAGTGGATTACATTGATGGATTTCCGAATATTGAACCATCCCTGCATTCCTGGGATAAAACCTACTTGATCA